GCTCCTCCACCCCCCAAAAAAGGCTAAATAGAGTTATTATAGTCCTCAAGAATGTCAGATCTGTTTAGGTTCTGTTAGAGCACTCTGAGGTAAGTAAAAAATAAAAAGCAGTTGGTGTTCCTTCAGTCATGTTGGTAACATTGTGCATCCAAGAAATTAATTGTAATAAATACTTGTTTTCTTGGACAAATAAGATTTCAATTTACATGAGAAACTGTTATATTAAATAAAGCAAAGGCAACACATTATTATTTCTCCAACAAGAAGAACATGAATTTTAATACAGTATAGGCCTGTCAATACTTCTAAAGGGCTCTGAAATTATCTCTCAAAGACTCTGGTTGACTTTTGGAGTGAACGAACTCAGCTTCTGTAGCAATGCCTACAGTGTGGCCCTGAAGCCACTTACAAGTGTCAGCAAACAATTAAGTGAATGACAAATATGCTGAGTCTCTGGAGATCAAACAATGATCCTGTTTGTGGGAATCACTGCTATCCATTTTTCTCCCAAGAATAATTATGTGTATAAAGTACAGCAGAAAAGAGGGCTCAGCCTAGCCCTGGAGTCTCTGCCTTTCTGGCTCATCCACTATGTCCTACTCTGTGGCCCTACCACCACTACACTGGTAAACTGGCCATTCACTTGACCCACTGAGATTGGCTTCGTTTACCGCTTTTGGTTGTTCTGCCTGACCTAGCTATTTCCTGCCCATCATTAACATTCAGCTCAAACATCACTCACCATTCTCCTGGAAAACTTTTTCAACCCCTGTAACCAGTCCATGTCTGTCTTGTTTTCCCAGAGCACCCAGTGTTTTTCTTTTTACACAACACTTAGCACTGGGTACTATGTTCACTTTTACTGTACCCAAACTGTGCGCTTTGAAGGAAAGGCACTTGGTTTATCTCTTACTGAGGCCTAACATGGTGCTTAGTACTGAGTAAGCACTCAACAGATATGTGCTGAACTGAGTGAGACCTCAAAGGGGCAGATTCAGTGCTCTGATATTGTTGCTAGGAGCCAGCTTCTCATCCAGGCAACAGCTGCAAGCTCCTCCCCCCACTTGTCAGCCCTTGTGCAGGTGGTAGAAAAGCAGAGCAGATGATGGGCTGTACTGCTACTGGTACTACCAAGGGAGAAGAACAAAACAAAACAACTAAAGTAAAAACCGGTTTTAAAAAAGTCTTGCAACAGTGCCAGCTCTAAGACTCCATACTCTTCTCTGGCCAGCACTCAGGGTCTGCTGCTGAAGAGATGCCACCTCCCACTGCCCCTTCAACCTCACAGACCTTAATCCTAAACAGGAGAAAAAGAAAATATATTTTGATCTTCAGAAGCTACTCTACCTAAGTATCAGAAAGTAGATACTAGGTATGGCCCTAAAAACAAATTCTTTGATACACAGACAAAAAATAAACAGAGAGTGGAGGAAAGAAAATATTTTATCATCACCACCATTTTAGTGTGGATTGGAACTTACTATATAGTCCACGCTGGCTTCAAACTCACATCAATCCTTCTACCACAGATTTCCAAGTGCTGGGATTACAGGCATAAGCCTCCATATTAGTCTAATGCTCTAACTGTAATGGCAGAAAAGCAAATCCTATGGAAGATTATGTATCTTGGTGGGCCAACACACCATAGTGCTGACAAACAGAAAGGGAGGAAAAAAGGGAGAAAAAGGCAAAAACTCAGGTTCTCCATACATGCACTGCTCTTACTCCTCATCTCTAACAGTCACTTTCCATAAACTCAGCAGTAAAATGGGACAAATGGATGACAAGGATTCATGAAAATTAGAAGCGCGCTTCCATCCAGCAGAGGGCACAAGTAGGTTGGGATCAGAGTTTGGAAGCTAATCCCTTACTCTGCCCCCAATCCTGCCAGCTTTACCTTCCAAGTATCATTTTCAAAAAAGGGGGTAGTTACAACAGTATCATATCTTTAGGCTAGTCATCAAATGTCATTCTCCTTTTAAATGATTAAAAAAAAAAAAAAAAGAAATTCAGTTTCTACATTCTACATCATTTGTCCAAGAGTAATCCAAGGTTTTGCTTTCTTCCGTTATAGCATTTGAAGAACTACCCTGAGTTTACAGATTCATGGTAACTTTTTTTTTTTTTTTTTAATCCTGCATTCTCCCAATAAGGCACTTCCTGAAGTTTGTGAGGTACTATAAAATGATCTAAGGATTAAATGAATGTCTGAACTTTCAACTTAAGAACCATAAAGGATAAAGCTTCTGTACTAGTTATTGCTTGTCCCTCACTATTGTTCATGGTGCTCTATTACAAAGTTGACCTCTTAAGAGACAGAGCTTTTTCTTGCTTGAGGGAGGTGCTCATTCAAACTAGAAAATTAAGATAATAGGCATCTGCAAGAATAATAATATTCAGTGTAGGCCTCTTGTAGCTCTAGTCAGATTAACAGAGTGACAGACAGGCTGGTGGGTCTTCCAGCCCACTACAGAGAAACAGCTTACAAGTCTGGTACAATAGCACATTACCTCAGTGAAGCTAAAGTTAGCACAAAGCATATCATTTCTTCAAATAAATGAAACAACCTTAAAATTTCAGTTCTTTATAGCTTCTTCAAATAAGAGACAAGATAAAATAACTAAACACGACAGTTTCTAAGCAAAGAGCATCATAATTATCCCAGTCTGGTTACTGAGGGGAGAGAAGGCAACAGGATAATAGTGCTTAAACTGTGAGCTGAGCCTGTGGCTAATTGAAGGAAAAAAAAAAAAAAAAAAAAAAAAAAAAAACAACAAAAAATATCAAAAAACACCCAACCTTAGTTGATAATTTAACAATCTCCTAAGAATAATAAATGGGCCGAAGTAATGATTGCTGTTAATCATACCAGATGTGATTGAAAGCTACCACATACCTACCAGCTGGCAAGCACTGTTGGGTACAACATAAAATGATGTCATGCAGTCACTGATCCTATGAGATCAGGATTGTCTCTTAATGGATGAAGAGGCTCAGAGAAATGAAGTAACTTACTTAAGGCTCACAACTGCTGAGTGACAGCCTGGATTCAATCACAGGGCTGTATTACTCCAAAGCACAACATCTTTCCACTTGCATGATGCAGTACCTCAAGAATAAAAATACAACACCCAGCCTTTAAAATGTTTTTAAAACACTCAAAATTAATCTCGCTGGCCATCTGATCTCTCTGGTACTCACACAGTGAGTGGCTCAAGCTGGGGGTTAAGAGGGTAGGGAATATATTAAAAGCCAAAACAGTGGTCATCTAAGGAAAGAGTGGGTGGAAACAGAACCAGGGCTGTCTTAAGGATGAGACAGGCAGGCAGGGCAGAAATCCGCCATATCCACACACCAGGAAAACATCTGTCAACCCATGACCTTCATCCCGAGACTACAGACACCTTTGGTTTATTTGAAAATGTAGTGGCTTTTAAAGACTTTTTCTTAACATAAAAATCCGAACAGGAAGAAGTTCTAAACTATCTCTAACCAACTAACAATCCACCTTCATTGTTCTGTGTCACCGCCATTATTCAATTTGCCACAACTTCTTTTTTTCCTGTAACTTGCACTTCCCTACCTGCTTTCTCCCCAAGCTGCAGAAACTCACCTCACATCCAGGCCCCTACTTTCCCCAAGAGCAAGCTAATCTCTCCCACATCTTGATTTATCGTCTTACCCACACTATAGCTTTTCATACAAAAAACAAAAAAATTCAATCCCCACCCCACCCCCATTGTAACCCTGACCATTCACCACTCCCCATCTTTTCTACCCATCTCCTCTCACACCTCAACTCTTCTATACCCCTCAAAATTCGGCCCCAGACCTCCAGACTCAATCCCATCTCCATCTGCCTCCCCGCGCCCTTTTCCAGCCCCCATCCTTCCCTCCCTCACCATTCTTCCCTTCACCATCAGGGTTGCTCTTAGCTCCCTAGTCTCTCCATCTCTTTCCCGGTTTTGCGTCCCCAACCTTCACAATCCCCTTTCTTCACGCCTCACTATCCCCAACTTCACAATCCAGTCTCAACTTGTTTCTTCCCTGCCCCCAAGCCCCACCCCTCCCCCTATTCCAACCCTAGCTCCTCTCCTCCGTGCACGCCTCAACCCCTTTTCTTTTACCCCTTCCCCAGCACCCCCACCCAAGCTTCTCCCCAAGTTCACCCAAGCTAAATCCGTTCCCTCTTCCGCTCAGAACCTTAATTCTCACCCGATCAGACTAACCCCACACACCACCGACCCCACCCTCAAGCCCACCTCAGACACCCCTACATCTTCATCCTCCCACCTCTGCCTCTGCCAGCTCCACCTCGTCCCCAGGGCCTTCCCCTCCCCCAGCCCCTCACACTCTGCCCGCCCCCGCCCCCACGCACTGCCCGAGGCTCGGCAAGCGGCCCGGCCCGCGGCCGCCACCTACCTGTGCCCCTGCCCGGGGCAGCGAGCGGCAGCACCTCACTGGTGGCTCCTTCCTCCACAGCGCGGCTGACCAGGAAGCGGCTCGGCACCTAGGCCACAAAGCCCGTGAGGGTGGGACACACACAGAGGGTGGCAAGAGGGAGGGGCTGGGGGCGACCTGGCGCCGCGGGACCGCGGGACCAGCGGGGCGGGGGAGGCCTCGGCTGGGTAGGCGCGCGTGCGCGGGGCCGGCATGAGGGGCGTGGCCTGGTCTGGAAGTGGGCGGGGCGGGGAGGGGCGGGGTCGAGAGTGGGGTGGGACCGTGGGGTCTGAGCGAGCTGGGTAGGAGCGGGAAGGGTGGGAGGGGCGGGGCTGGACGGTGCGCGTGCGTGACCGCACAGGGGCGTGTCCCCTGAGACTTCTGTGGGCCCCCGAGGCGTCGCGGAGCAGGGTAAGGCGCGCGAGCGAGCTGGCGTATCTGGGCGGGTCCAGTGCCGGGAGAGGGCGGGGCGGAGCTGCGCCGGGCGCGCGCCTGGGAACTCCGCTGGGGCCGGGGCGGGGCCGGGGCGAGGCGGGGCGGGGGCGGGGCGCGGGACACCAGGAGGGGATCGCGAGCCGAAGGTCCATTCGCGGAGCTACCCGAGGCCCAGGCGAGTGGGTCTACCCTGCGCGTTGGGCGGGCACCGGAGAGGTGGGAGTCTGGTGGCGGAGGGATGCGGGTGGGAAGGGAGCGGTTGTGAAGGGATACGCGGCAGGCGACCGCGGGAGGTGCGGCGACGTTGCTGCGAGAGGGCAGCCTGACGAGGGCCTGATCTCTCTCTCAGTCCTGGAGACCAAGCCCCCACCCCCACCCCAGAGCCTTGTAGTGACCTGAAATGATGCTTTGACCCCTCAAAAGGAAGAACAATTACAAATCACAGTTAATAACCCAAATGTAAGACATCATCATCTTCGTACAAAATCAAAACAGTTACAAATTATATTTGAAGTCGATGTGGGTGCATTTAGGCTATTTTAGATCACTTGGGTCTGGGGCTTGTGGAGGAGGTGGGAAGATTATGCCTGGGTCTCTACCATGGGAGACAGAGATGGCAGTTTTTAAAATTTACACAAGAGTTACCAGTGGATGGTATAGGAAAGGATTTGGGGCGTGCTGATGTAAGAGCACTCAGAGCCAAGGATGCTGGCCAACAAGAAAATCAACCCAGGACTTGACCCAGAGGTTTTCTGAAAGAAGTACCAGAACGGCCTCACTGTGTACACGGGTGAAGAAAACCAATGGCCTTGGAGAAGGATAAGGCACCCAGTGTCCTGATTGTAGAACACAGAAAGAATGGTACCCTAGAGCCTCCCACTTTGGTAGAGAGTTCCCTGATGGGATTCATGCTTGCTTAGGTCAATCATGTCCTCTCAAACCTGGCATCTTGGAGCTATGGAAACATGCCTGCTGAGTGGTTTCATGGGTTAACTTGGGGTTGGTTTGCCTCTTTCTGATTAATTGCAACAAAAACTTAACGAAAACCCAATCTCTGCCCTTTTCTTCCTTGTCTAATAGGATAGATACTGGTGGGTCTAGGAGGTATGAAATACATTATATATTAAAGTACTTATTTGCTCTTTCCATATACATCTTAATTCATTTAAGAATGAGATAAGAAAAGAACTGAACATTTGTAGAGCACACACAGTATCCCATTCATCTACTGTATACATCAATATGAGAACATTTTCCTAAATGATAACCCTTATTTTATTTAATTTTTAGAATAGTTCTCTGATAGCCCAGTATGGCCTTAAACTCACTTCCAATCCAGCAGCCTTCACCTTCCCAGTATATGTGACATCATTCCTTTTGAAATTCTTTTGAAAATGTGCTGATTCTCTCTTACCCTGTTTTGAGACATTCACATCACAAATACACGACAAATTTGTTCGTCATCCTTGGCAGAGGATGTGCATCTGGAAGGAGCACTGTAACTTTTTTTTTAATCTTTATTTAAATTTCTTATTACACTTGTTTGTGTGTGCTGGGGAGGGAGACATGCTCCTGAACTTTTTCTGTCAGTTTGGAAATGCATAATGTCCTTAAAAGGCTCTATCCTAGCACCAAACACAGTATTCTAGAGGTGATTCACACTAGTGGCACCCAGCTACTAGTTGTGTGTCTGTTATCAGCCTGACAAGAACCAGATTTCAGTTACAAATTGTATTAATCATTACTGGTATTGTGCCTTGGCACTTAGTACATGTGGGCCCCCTGTTGGATGGAATGTAATAATACCTCTTTAACCTTTTAAGTTGTGTTTTGTTGTTGGGGTGCTGGAGATCAAACCTGGGGCATCATGCTTGCCAGGCAGGCACTAGCTTAACTCTTTGTATAATCTAAATTAGCATTTTAAAATTTTACCTTTGGGACAGTGTTGTCTGGTGTTGATTTCCGTCATGGACCAAACCAGTTGAATTTTAATACATCTAGATCAAGGGTTTTAAAGGGCCAAATATTTTAGGCTTTATATTCTGTGACAGCTACTCAGTTCTGCCACTCAAAGGCAGCCATAGACAATAAGTAAATGGTGAGCATGACCTTGTACCAATGAAACTTTCTTCCAGCTTGTTCTCTATCTTCCCTCCTTTGAACCCAGGGTCATGAATGTACTGTGCACATACATGCTGTAGAGCTGAGCTCGCCCCATCCTTCCACCATTTCTTTTTGAGAGCCAGTACTATCTGACACCTCAGCTTTGTGTTATGTACAGAGTTGATAAGCATACTTCTTATACCCTTAATTAACAAAGATGTTATGTAAAATATCTTCACTTAATTCCACCGTAGGGGAGGGGCAGATAGGAGCTTACTCTGTAGCTGGGTTCAATTCCTAGCACTGTAAAAAAGAGATTTAAAATTTTAAAAATGTTAAATAGGATAATAAGATTTTGTTTTGCTAATAATTATTCTCTGAGTTTAGCTATTCAAAGAGTTATAAAACAGCTAAAAGTACTGTCATCCATCCTTTATTTCCCTGGTCCCAAGTTACCTTGAAAATATTTGTTAAAATGCTCAGAACAAACGTGTTCCTAATTGGTAGAAATTCCAAGAAATAAAAAGTAAGCTGCTTTGGTGCAACTTGGTAGTTAATGTTATTATTACCTTCAATTTTATCTGTGTCTGTATTTTCAATTCTTACTAAATTAAGAATTTTATTTGTAGGCCAGATGTGGTAAAACACCAGCTCTCGGGAAGCAGAGGCAGCAGGATCTGTTTTGAGTTCATGGTCAGCCTGATCTACAGAGTGAGTTCCAAAACAGCCAATGATACACAGAGAAACCTTCTCTTGAAAAAATTCAACAAATTTGTTTTTTGTTTGTAATTAACATCTATGTCCATCAACATATATGTAGGAATTCTCCATTTTTTTTCCTCTTTTAAATAAGGATTAACAATACTCATTCAATACCAGTTCTCTGGTATCAATAGTGTAAAGGTTGTGGAAAGATTGGTCAAGAAAAATGCACACAGATATATTAGAACATGGTTTTCACAGTATAGATACAGACACAGCTCCAGTACTATTGATAACTGTTTTTAAACTATAATAGAAAGTGAATAAATGAATTAAAAGTTATCAGTAATTAATATTAGACCTACAAGATGGCTCAGCTGGGAAAGTGCTTGGTACATATGAGATTGGGCCATCTGGGTTTGATACCCAGAACCCACCTAAAGGTAGAAGGAGAGAACTGACTCCTTAAAGTTGTCCTCTGACTTCACAGGCTTACACTCACATAAACACATGCACACACTCTGTAGTAATAAATAAAACTATTAAAATTTATTATAAAATTAATTGGAGAAGGTATAGAAATCTGGAATAGAACTACCAAATTTGAAATAATAAAAATTTGTTGCAGTGCTGGTCTGGATGTTACATAGGCACACACCTGTGATTCTAGTGCTAGGGAGGCTGAGGCAGGAGAAATATAGGTTTGAGGTCAGCATTGTAAACATAGTGAGAACTTGTCTCAAACAAACAACAACAACATAAACAGACCCTACAAACACTTAGCCAGGTATGAATCAAATATCCCCTGCCCTCCATTCCCGTGTGTGTGTGTGTGTGTGTGTGTGTGTGTGTGTGTGTGTGTGTGTGTGTTTGTGTGTGTGTTACCAAACTTAAGTAACATGTTAGGCAAGCACTCTCCCAATAAACTACTTCTCTATTTTCGAATAATCCCTACCCTATATAAAATTGTTTCAACAACTAGAAAAAGAGCTTTCCAGCTCCTTATTTTCTTTGAAATATCATCTTAATCTCAGGGCTATAAAAATTGATTAAATGGCAGAAAAATTTAAATATGAAAGTATCAAATCTTTGGATAAAAATAATACATCTTGGGCATATAAACTTTTGGGGGGAGGGTGGCGGTACCTGGGAATATTGTAGCATTAGAAACATTTATTTAATTGGCCACATTAATACTCTTAAGAAAAGCCATATGGAGCTGGAGAGGTGGCTCAGCAGTTAAGAGCACTGGGTGCTCTTCCAGAGGTCCTAAGTTCAATTCCTGGCAACTACATGGTGGCTCACAACCATTTGTAATAGGATCTCTCATGCTCTCTTCTGACATGCAGATGTACATGCAAACAGAGCAATCATACCTACAAAAATACATACATAAATAAAAATTTTTAAAAAGCCATATGGTCATCTTAATACATATATTTGATAGAGTGCAATGCTTATTCATATTTAAAAGAAAAAGTTTTAACTAGTACACAAAATTCTTACAACAATAAGTAAAACATCAGCGAATGTGACATTAAATGCTAAAATGTGGTAAATGCCCATTGTTTGGCTAAAAATAAGGAATTTTGAGTGTTGTTTTTATGAAGATCCCCTTTACAACAGTAGTAGGAACTATAGTGATCAAGAGTTAAAAAAAATTTAAGATGGGTAAAGAGATGTTGATAGAACTGTATAATATTTTAAGGACTTAAAAAATCCTAAGTAAATGCAGACATATACTAGACACATGACACGTATTTGTAGAAGCATGCCAATGCTCTCCAATTTAATCTATAAATTTAATGAAATTGTTTCTAATAATTTTCGAGGTGTAGTGCCAAACAAAAAATAGAAGGACTTAACCTTGCTAAGTGTTAAAATGTATACCTGTCAAGCATAGTGATACAGGCCTATAATCAGCACATGAGAGGATGAACCAGGAGGATCAAGTATGCAAGGTCAGTGTGTACTACATGGGAAGTTCAAAGTCAGCTCAGGCTATGTACAAAGACCCTGTCCAGGAAGAAAGGAAGGAAGAAAGAAAGGAGGAAGGAAGAAAAACTATACCATATTCTATCATTTGCTTTCAGCCTACATAACATTAGAGTGTGTCTCTTGAAAATATTATTTGATTGATTCTTAAATTCAGTATAATCTAGTGTTTAATTTAGTAGTGGTAAATGGGGAAATCATTTGTTTTTGTTTAAATTTGTGTACCTGCCCTCTCTCAGTATAGTCAGGTATTTTTCTGGCATTGCATTTTTTTCTTCTGGCTTTTTTATTAGCCTGTTTAGTATTTATATAATAAAATCTTGAAGCTGGGTAATTAATAAAGAAAATAAGTTTATTTAACATACCATTCTGGAGGGCAAAGAACATGCGAATATCTGCTTGACTTGGATGAGGACTTCATAGGTGATAGCATGTAGGGGAGAGGTCACAAGGCAAAGAAGGAAGCAGGAGAGCAGGGAAGGACCAGGTCTATTCACAGAAATGAATCCATTCCTATAAAACCCATTAATAATCCCTTTAGGAGGCCTGTTGTAACCGTTTGCCTCCCTGTCCATTTCATCTCTTAAAGGTCCCACTACCTTACAGTATAGAGACCAAGCTTCCATCATTTGTACCAAATCATTATTAGTTACTATATAATCCTAGGATTATGACATGCGTCCTTAACATCCTAGTGTCTCTGTTGTCTGTCCATCTGTCCATCTGACCATCTGTCTCTGGTTTTGCAGTACTGAGATTTAACCCAAGACATTGCACTTGAGAGTCCAGTACTCTACCACTGAGTTGTATCAGCCCCCTAGTCTATTTTGAATTACTATTATATTACTTCATATTCGGTGTTAAGAATTTTACTAACATGATCTATAAGTATAATTTTATCACCTTCTTCTTGCTTTGTATTATTTATTGCCTTTGCCTTGTTTTTTATTTTTGAGAAAGGTCTTGTATAGCCCAGATTGGTGTCCAGCTTGCTATACGCTTGAGTATCCTTGAGCTTCTAACCCCTTACCTCCCCCTTCTAAGTACTTGAATTATAGGCGCATGCCACCACACCAGGCTATTTTTTAGGCCATTCAGTAGTCCTGGGTTTTTCCTGTAGTTCTTGTTTGATGCTTGTATATGAGCCAAGTACTCTATTACTAAGTTGTGCTTGCAGCCCAGGTCAGCGGTGTTTTTGAGAAAATGTTAAGCTATTGTGTTAATGGTGTATTTTTCATCTCTAGTGCTTCCCATTCTTTCTCACAGATCTGGATGTAGCCTAGAACCATGTGCTGGGAGGTCAATTTTGATTGGACTAAAGCCGACCTACATAATAAAGTACACCTCTGGAGGTATCGGTGTTTCCAGAGATATGTTACTGTGATTTTTGCTCAGTTTTTCTTTTTCTCAGCTGTCGACTAATGTGCCTAAGTAGAAGCTTCTGTGTGTTTGTTCAGCTTAAAGTTTAGAATTTCTTGGAGTTATGAGTTTATATTATAGATTTGGGGAAATTTTCAGCCATATTTCTTCATGATTTTTCCTACATTATTCCATTTCCTCCTTCTAAGACACCAATTCCAATTGTGCATATTTCAAACTAGTTTGATTTTATCTCATAAGTCCAATGCTCTGCACTTGTTTACTTTTTAATTTATTTTTATTTTATGTGAATGGGTGTTTTGCTTGTGTGTGTGTCTGCACACCACATACATATAGTAGCCCCAGAGGCCAGAAAAGGGCATCAGACCTTTTGGAACTGGAGTTCAGAAAGTAGTTAGCTACTACATGAGTGCTGGAAACCAAACCTGGCTCTCCTACAAGAGCAACAAGTGCTGTTAACCACTGAGCCAGTTCTCCAGCTCCCTTCACTTATTTTTTTTTAAGATTTATTTTTGTTTCTGTGTGTGTGTTTCTGTGTGTATGCCGTATGTGTGTAGGTGCTTGTGGAGAACAGAAAAGAGTGTCAGAACCCTTGGAGATGGAGTTAGGATGTGTCTAGAAACTAAATTTGAATCCTCTGGAAAAGCAGCAAATATATATATATATATATAAATGTACATATATATATATATATATGTACATTTATATATTTTTTAGTGTCAGACAAGTACTTTGCCATTACATTACACCTTCAGGCCATATTTATGTTCACCGATCTTTACTTTTTTCTTCGTGTTTATTTCTTTATTTCTTTATTTCTTTATTTATGTGTTGGTGTGCATGTGTATGCCATGGTTCACAAGTAGAAGTCAGGACAGCTTGCAGAGTTGATTCTCTCCTCCACTGTGTGTTCTGGGATTAAAGTCACATCAGTGTGGCTGGAAGTGCCTTTACTGACTGAGCCATTTTGCCAGTCCCACCAATCTTTGCTTAATGCCAAATTCTATGTGATGTTAAGCCCAGCTAACTTTTTTCTTAACTTTAAGTAACTGTATTTTCCAATTCCTAAACTTCTGTGTTGTTCCTTTTGAGTTTTCATTTGTCTTGTGAAACTCACTTTCTGTTCATCCATTTTGTCCATGTTTTTTTCTAAATTATTTGACAGATTTATGAATAGTTGTCTTCGTAACTTCTAGTATAAATTAGCACATGAGGAACTCCAGGACCGAGTCATCTGTTGAGCTGCTTCTAACCTTATTTGATGTAGTGTCTCAACAGAAGGTAGAGTAAATAGATAATTTTCCCCTGGAGAGTTCACATCTTTCACAAATTTTCCTTTGTCTGGGAGCTGGGGTAAGAGACAAATCAATTCTTATGCTGGGTTAGACCATGTTGCAATTTTAGATGTTCAGTTTACTTCTGGTTTCAAATAATTAAGTAGTAAGCTTAATTTCTCCTTCACTGGGTTTGTCTCTTATGTACCCAAACCCAAAGAAACCTTTCTTTGCTTTCAGCTAACACCAGCTTCCTGTCTCTTTGATCTCATGTCAGGTGACATGCCTGGGGGCTGTGCTGCAGCTGTACCTAACCGTACTCAATGGTGCTGCATGTGACATTGATAAATTTCATAAACATGATGAGGGAAAGAAGCCAGATACCAGTAAGCCTGAACTAAAACTCCATGAACATGAAATTTAGACAGAATTAATTCACAGTGTTAGAAATAGGATCACTGTTCCTTGCAGGGAGGAAGCAGAGGTAGGATTGGGAAGGGATGAGGGAGGCTTCTTACAAGCTCTATATCCTAAAGCTTTCTTGAATATATGCTTGTGATTTGGTACCTTTTTTGTGTGCACGTTATAGTTGGGTAGGCGACTCTTGTATCAAAGCCAAAGCCATAAACCAAGCATAGTGAAGTACATCTATAACCTGAGCAGTCAGGAGGGTGAGGCGGGAAAATTAGAGTTTAAGCTAATAGCGAGGAGCTGTTTCAAAAACAAATTTAAAAAGAAAAAATCAAGCTTGGATTGGGAGAAGACATTTATAAAGACACAATTTATGAAATACATTTATGAAACACGATTTGTATCTTGAGTATTGTGTGTGTGCGTGCGCGCGCACATAAAACATCAGAAGAAGGAATCATATTCACTGGAGTTGAGCTTATAGGTAGTTGTGAGCTGCCCAATGTGAGTGCTAGGAACTGAACCTAGTACCCTTGCAAAAAAGAGCCACATGTAGTATGTGCTAGTCAGCTCAGCACTGGGGAATTGTCAATAAGAGACCTTCAGAGGAGGTATATGGTATTCCTGTGGTTATCTTCTGGCATTCTCGGAGGCACCCACAGAGTTGTCAGGTTACATCTAGCTGCATCACCATCAGAACAGGTAGGAGAAGCAGAGGATAGGATCTGAGAAAATCCTCTTGTATCCACCATAGTGGAGCTCAACATGATGACTTCAGCAGAGATGGGTTTAAGTCTCTTGGCCAGATGACTAGTTCAGAATTTTAAAATAAAGTTACCACTTTCCTTATTTCATGTTCTTAGTCACAAAATCATAGCTGCTGTTGTTATGAGTCCCTGTAATTTTAGCTATTGGAGAAGCGGAAGGGGGGAGGCCACATGAGCATAGGAGTTCTTGAGGACAGCATGGCTAACAAAGCAAAACTCTCACCTCAAAAAGTCAACCAAAGATAGTGTGTCAAATTGTAAGTAAGCCTGGGGGGCAGGCCTGAAAACCCAACTCACAGGGAGTAGACAAAAGAGAAAGAACCCTGAGGATAAGAGACCTTATTTCCCCCTGAAAGAAAAATTAAAAAAAAAAAAAAAAAATACGGCCAGGTGTGGAGGCTCATGTCTGTAATCTTAGCACTTGTGGGGCTGGAGCAAAAAGGCTACAGAGTGACCAGTCTCAAAAACAGAAATCCCCAAAGTATATATGCTTACAAAAAACCTGCATTTACCCTCCATATTTTAAAAAATTTCATAAAAACAGCTATATAACTACAATAAAAAAAATCACCCATAATTTATGTCACCATAGCTTGTTAACTATCTTTATATAATAACTGAGGGCTTTAATTTTAGAAGCAGAATAATGTTAGATCAAGTAGTCAAAGACATTTTGTGGAATATGGACGTGGGAATCATTGTACTTTATAGGTCATCCCAGGGAGAGGGCAAGAGTTTGCAGAAACATGTTTACGTCCCTCCCACATTTTGAATAGCTTGGTTGTTATACCGTGTGCTAGGCAACAGCTTTGCTTTCTCTTCTGTTGAGAATAGAGAGTTTGCTTCTTTATGACTGTATTTTAATAAAATTTTCAGGCTAAACACTTTGAGATGAGGAAGGTTGATCTCTGTTCAAGTTCTGAAGGGACTGAGGTGATTCTGGCTACCTCCAGTGATGAAAAGCACCCACCTGAGAATATCATTGATGGGTAAGAGTGGCTGTTCCTTCTGTCCTACTTCCAGGGTTAGGGTTAGAGCAGGGAGCCCTATTTTGTAACCACTGGCACTATTAAGTAGTTTAATAAACATTTAGTGAGGTGGATGACTTCATAGTATCTTATTTCTGGAGTCATTCTTCAAACTAATTCAGTTGTGAATATTTAAGGTTTTTATCCTAAATAATTCTTAGATTGACCTCCGTGGGCAAACAGGTTCAGTTTTTTGTTTTTCTTTTTTCAATTTTTTCTCTTTTTTAGTGTTGGAAATTGGACCCAGGGTAGACAAGTACTCTACCATCATGCTGTTCCCTCAGCTCTTTTTCTGTTTATTTGTGCTTTGGGTTTTCTAAGACAGGGTCTTAGTGTAACCTAGATTTATCTTAAACTCAAAATCCTCCTGTTCAGCCTTCAGAGTCCAAGCTTATAGTTGTGTTCCACCATTCCTAGTTTGCAAATGGGTGTGTGTGTTTTAAATTTTATTTTTATTTTATGTGTATTGGTGTTTTGCTTATATATGTGTATATGTATGCAATACTCAAGGACAGAAGAAAGTGTCAGATCCTCTGGAACTGGAATTATTAGATTTAAGTTACAGTTGTGAGTTGCCATGTGGGTGCTAGGAACTAAACCCAGATCAGATCTTCTGTAAGAGGAGCCAGTGCTCTTAACTGTTGAGCTGTCTGTCTAGTTCATAAATAGATTTTTTTAAAAGGGGGTTACCAAAACAAAAATCCAAGACAGCAACTTCATTCTAAAGAAGAATAAATTTTAATATCTGGTTTTAGTTTAATTCCAAATTCTCTTGGAAATAGAAATATATAAACATTGTTATTTCTTTTATACTGCCTGTTTGCTCACTGGTCCAAACAACATCTTTGCTGAGTAGGATGCCTCACTTCTGGTCTTTCCTGCTGTAGTTGAACTTTCTTGGCCCACCAGTTTACAATTAACAACTCAGAGACTTATTAATTATGAAAGCTTAGCCTTACCTTAGGCTTTTCCCAACTAGCTCTTATAACTTAATGTTTATATTAATAAATGTTTTACCATGTGGCATTACCTTTCTTCCATTCCTGTTTCCTCTCTGTGTCTTGTTGGAGGAATCCGTGAGTCTCTGCCTTGATTTCTCCTTCCTTTCTGCCTGGAAGTCCCACCTTTTCTCTTCTGTCTAGCTATTGGCCATTTATCCCTTCATTAAACCAATCAGAAGGATCCTTAGCCAGAGACACATCTTTACAGTGTAAATAAATATTCTGAAACATCCTGCATTGTGTACTTCATTCCAATTTCCACTTGGCCAGGCCTAGAGTTTATTCTACATAGACCTTTAACTTCAAGAAAAAGTGGCTAATGAGAACACACCTCTTTTATTTATTTATTTAAAAATTTGGTTTTAGATGTGGTGTTTTGCCTACACATGTATCTATATACCAGATGTGTACAGTGCCTGGAGAGGCCTGAAGAGAATGTCAGATCCCCTTGACTGGAGTTACAGACCATTGTGAGCCACCTTGTGGGTTCTGAGTCTTCTGGGAGAGTAGCCAGTACTCTTAACTACTGAGCCATCTCTCTAGTCTGAGAACACCCCTCTTACATCATTCTGGCTTATTACTCTTCTAAATCCTCTCAATGTGTATACTTAACCACAGTTTGACTGGTGGAATCGTATAATTTTAGAGCTGCAGGAAGACAGGTGTACACATTAAACACTGGTTTTAATTATTGAAGTAGAGCCAGTTGTAAGATGGAGATGTTGTAAGTCTCCATAATATATTGTGCTTGAGCAAGAACTCAGCAATCAGATCAGACCTCTTCCTTCAAGGTCAGTTGTTGCTCCTTGGTAACACCTTTTCCCTCAGACAGGGTTACTTCATGTCTTTGCTAGGCTCCAGGGACATTCGTTTAAATCCCTATTGTGAAATTGTGTGATTTGGTTTTATTTTTTGTAATTGTTTATACTGTTAGTGTCCTCTCTCAGCAAAATTCTTGGAAATCAGTCTGTGTTTTGTTTACCTTTGACTCTACAGAATCTTGAACTGCTTGTTAACTACTTTGTTGATTTAGAACACCAAATATTTGTTAGACTTGACTAATGTTCGAAATCATGAGTGATTTTTACACATGTACACATATATAAATGTATACACACACATGTATGTGACTGCAAATTTGTATAGAGTTTTACAATTTGGGAAGTGATAAACACATATAAAAACTATCTCCACCTGGGTGTTGGTGGCACACACCTTTAATCTCAGCACTCAGGAGGCAGAGGCAGGTGGCTCTCTGAGTTCGAGAGTTTGAGGCCAGACTGGTTTACAGTGCTAGTTCCAGGACAGGCTCCAAAGCAATACAGAGAAACTCTGTCTTGAAAAAACCAAAACAATAAAAACGATCTTCAACTGGGCATTTTATCTCATACCTATAATCTTGTAGTACTGGGAGAGTGAGGCAGGTGGGAAACTGCCTTGAATTCAAGGCTAGCCTCGACTGCATAGTGAGACCCTGCCTCAAAGTGGGGAGGAACACTGAAGAGATACATGTCTCAGAGATTAAGAATGCTTGTTGCTCTGGGAGAGGACTAGAATTTCCTTCTTAGCAGTCATGTTAGATGGCTCACAAACTCCTGTAACTCCAGCTCCAAGGGATCTAACATTCTCTTTTGACCTCTGGGGGAACTGTCTGGGCAAATAGCATAAGCAGACATTCTTGTGTTCATGGACACACACATATACACACAAAGCAAATAAACCTTTTTAAAAATACTTTCAAACTCATCTTAAAGATGAACAAAAGGATTATCAAAGGCAAAACAATTTGTTAAAAAAAAGTCACACAGATAAACGAACAACAAAACCAACTAACACCCATGTCCTCCAACTCCAACTAAAGGTTCTGTATGATAATTCAAACTTAAGGCTTGAATAAAAAACTTAATACCTAGATGGGTGGTGGTGCACACCTGTAACCCCAGCACTTGTGAGACAGAGTTCAAGACCAGCTTGGTCTACAAGAGCTAGTTCCAGGACGGCCTCCAAAGCCACAGAGGAAACCCTGTCTCAGAAAAAAACAAAAACAAACAAACAAAAAAACACCTTAATATCTGCCTTTGTTTTCCTTTGTTTTATATTCCCTGTGAAAGTCAAGTAATTTATCCCAATGACTTGGTATAGAAAAATGAGTGTACACATACACACAGAACTGTGATTTGTCTTAAGTTGTTCATTTAGAATAGAAGTCTTTCCAGAAATATCATTCACTTGAATTGGAGATAGATAATTTTTTCTAAGGCAAGCTTATGCAAATACCCCCCTAAAGCCTTTAAAAATTTTGTATATGAGTGTTTGCCTTCATGTATGCATTTGTATCATGTGCGTGTCTGGTGCCATGGAGGCCAGAAGAGGGCATCAGATCCCCTGAAATTTGAGTTATGGGCGGTTATAAGCTGCCACTTGCGTGCTAGGAATTGAACCTAGGTTCTCTGAGGAATCAGTGCTCTTAAGTGCTGAGCCATCTTTCCAACCCCAGAGATTTTTAATCTATGTAGTTCTAGCAAACACAAACAGGATTTATACAGTTATAAATTATTTCCTGCTCAGAGATTTGTTTTTATCTAAATGGAAACAGCTACAGAGTTACCTGGAGAAAGTGATGCTGTAAATTTATTCCTATAATGGAGATTTATCTTATGCCCCTAGTGAATGCTTTAACTTTCCTTAGAAGTTAGTTGTATTATTATTATTATTTTTGTTATTGTCTGTCCTGTTTTTGGGGGATATAGTCTCTTGTAATCGGGCTGGCAGAGAACCCACTATAACTTTGAGCTCCTGATCTTTCTGCCTCTGTTCCCCCAATCCTGGGATCACACTTCCCTAGAAAGAAGGATTAACATGAATGCGTTACTTCTTCTTGACCCTGCCTTTGTCCTCTCTACTTAATATGTCAGTAAAAAGGGAGAAAAGAAACTCCACAAAGGAAACAACAAAGCTAGATGTGAGCTATCTCAGCATTTGGAAGGCTAGGACAGGAGTGCCCCAGTGAAGTTAAATAAATATTCATCTACCCCCACACTGTGAGAAAGAAGCATAGTACATATAAATCATATAAATAGAAACATACATATTGTGGCTTGAGGTTTTTTGTTTCTTTGTTTTGTTTTTAAAGCAGGATGTTATTAAATGAAGCAATTTATTGTGTATCCTGGGCTGGCCTCAAGCAATCCTACTCCCTTTGTTTTTTAAATGCTCAGAATTATACATGCGCTATCACCATGCCTATCTCACATGAAATCTATTGTTTATTGGTTTTGTTTTTTTATTTTTTTGACTTTATGGGTATGGGTGTTTTGTCTGTACACCTCATGTGTGCCTGGTACCCACAGAGGCCAGAAGAGGGTGTCAGATTCCCTGGCACTACAGTTGTAGATGGTTGTGAGCCACCATGTAAGCAATGGGAATCAAACTTAGGTCCTTTGCAAGAACATCCAGGACTCTTAACCTATGAGCCATCTCTCTAGCCCCCTTTTTGCGTTTTTACGACAAAGTCTAAGTATGTAATTGACTGGCCTGGAAATCTTGAACTTGCCAGGATCCTCCTATTTTAGCATGAGCTACCACACCCTGTTGCCATGGATACTGTTGTGATCCTTTCACTTACATGATTTTAAAGTTCCTCTATTTTGTAATACATATTATTATTTAATTTTTATTGTCAAACAATATTCATTATGCTGATGGAGCACATAGTATTTATGCATTTTTAAGTAGATAGACATTATTTCTACTTTTCCAGTTTTACATAAAAAACAGCCCTTCGGGCTAGTGAGATGGCTTCATAGTTAAACCCTGTCTCAACCCCCTGACTCAAAAGAAAGAAAAGGGGGGGATTAGTAGAGTTAGTAAGTAAACTCAGTGGATACAAAAATCAAGGTATTATTAAAATTAATTGTATTACTATATCTTAATTGGAAGTAAACATTTCTAAATTTCAGTTACAGAAGCTGGAGATGTAGCTTAGTTGGTAGAGTGCTTGCCTGCATGCATGAAGCCCAGATTTAGTTCCCAGAATGGTATAAACTGAGTGTAGTGGTGCATACATGTAATCCCAGCACTTGGAAGGTGGAGAGATGTAGAAGTAGGAAGATGAACTAACTGTTCAAAGTCATTCTCAGATACATAGCAAGTTTCAGGCCATCCTGAGCAAACTTGTGAAACTTTGCTTCAAAAAAAAAAAAAAAAGAACAAAACAGCACAAGTGCTCGACAGTGGTGTGTACATCTTTAATCCCAGCATTATTCAGGAGGCAAAGGAAGCTGGATCTCTGTGAGTTCAAGGCCAGCCTGGTCTCCAGAACAAGTTCCAGGCAGCTAGGGCTGTTACATCTTGGACTGAGGGGAGTGGGGCAGAACAAGCTAAGGATGTGGCTCATCAGTACAACCTTTCGTAGAGCATACAAGGCCCCTGGTTCACCCTCCTGCAGAAAGTAATAGTCATTTCAAAAATCATTGCAAGGCCCATGATGGAAATCAAAGCAGTTGTTGGCTAAGGGAATGTCGAACCTGTCTGGAGGGCTCTGCACGCCTTTAATCCCTGCACTTGGAAGGCAGAGGCAGGCAGATCCCTCTGAGTTCAAGGCCATCCTGTCATACAAAGCTACACAGAGAAACCCTGTCTCAAAAAATCAAAGACAAGCAAACAAACAAAAGAAACTGTCTGGAGGAAAAATAAGGGAATTTCTGGAATCATGGGGAAGTGCTCTATCCTCATTGAGAATATTCATTAACTTAGTGAATCAGTTACATAAGAATATACATTCATCAAAACATATTATACTTAATTTTTATTATATGTAACTTTTTCTCCCAAAAAACAAAGAAAAGGCTTATATTGTTTAAAGTAGAAATGATTATTCCTATAGCCAATGCCATACATGCAACAGACTATTTTATATACGGTATTGACTATAGAAATTTTATACACACACACACACACACACATATGTATGTATGTATATATAGTGTATATGTATGAGACTTTAATTGAAACTTCATGTTTTGTTTTCAGCAAACATTGTTCATATACTAGGGGTCCCCTACTATAATAGTTATTAAAACATAAAAATAAAGAAAGGTTAGGTCTGAAGAGATGGCACAGAGGTTAAGAGCACTAACTGTTCTTCTAGAGGTTCTGAGTTCAATTCCCAGCAACCACTTGGTGGCTTACAACCATCTATAATGAGATCTGATGCCCTCTTCTGGTGTGTAAACAAAATATTGTATACATAATAATAAACACTTTTTAAGACGACCCTGTTAAAAGTAAAGAAAGGCAAGTGTCTGGGTCCATAGGAGCCATAAAAGTGCAATAGATATGTGTCTAGGGTGGGAACGGATGCTATGAGGCAAGTGGAAAACACAGGACATAATTTCTCATCTGCTAGAGTTGGAGTAGGGAACCAAACCTTTTGCAAGAGGAAGAAGGGCTTTGAGGTCAAGAGAGCTCATTAAGTTAGCTAGAGAAGCATGAGTCTATATGATGTGTTTGAGAGTTGTAAGCAGCTGGCTGTGGCAGCAGTGATGGGATGATGTAGTAATGGGAGGCAATGTACTTTAATGATGGAAATAAAGAGGCTGGGTTTACAGTCAGTAGGGGGCTGCTGAAGACTTTTAGATGGGAGTGACATCAGTTTTGTTTCAGCAATTTAAAAGAGGGTATCCATCAGTAGTTTAAAAATAAGTACTAAAGTTGGGGAATTCATAGGCAGAACTAAGTTACAAAGGGATTTTAAAATAAAACGGTAGCCATTTTTAATGTTCATTCATTAGAACATTATGATTAATTTTTATATCTGCCTATTCCTTTTATTCTTTTAAAATTAACATTAGGAATCCAGAAACCTTTTGGACCACCACCGGCATGTTTCCCCAGGAATTCATTATTTGTTTTCACAAACATGTAAAGATTGAAAAGCTTGTGATCCAAAGTTACTTAGGTAAGCAAGTCACATATGAACTTTGTATTATTCTTTGATTTTTCCATAGGCAGAGGACACATGTCACATTTTGGCAAAGAGCTAGTTTTTCTATACAGCATGGGACCCTGTTTTATTGCTAAAGTGGGAGGTGGAGAATATGGGTTAACTGCCTTCAGCACAGTTAGCCTCTCTTAAACTGTAAATTTGAAACCCTTCCAAAGCACATCATAATTTCCATGCAGCTTATTGTGTGAAAGTCTTTGGCAGAAGATTCAGTTAGGATGTAAGAAGCTGGCTTGCCAGGATGCTCAGTCCTATGACATCTTCATCCTGGGTTCATTTAGCCTATAGTCTCAGATTCTTTCCGTAAATCTGATAACCCAGATTATTCCCACTGGATAGTTTTGATTCTTCTATCACTAATGACATTTTTCTGGGGATTAGGAATGGAATCTCCCCTTGGAACATTAAGTCCTGTCTGTGATAAAGTGTATCAGACATAATCATGGCAGGAAACAGAATAGATCCCAGATGTTTCAAATGAAGAGACTTTATTAATAGATCTACTTATATAATTCTGGCCTGAGCTGCAGGAATGAATAAGGGATAATGGCTCTCAGAAACTAGCTACAGCAGGGAGCTACTGCTGTCCTGGGACTAGGAAAGGAAAGTGTTACCAGACCTCAGAGAGATTTGGGGGCGGTATGGAGGGACCTGGCTAGCAGGAGCTATATAGTCTTGAAGGCACAGGACCACTATCAAAGATATGGTATGAAGCAGGACAGAGTGTAAATAAAATATCCAGTTTTCACTTTCTACCCTCTAGTTTTCTGGTGCCTGCCACTAGCCAGCTCCAAAGAGAAGCTAGTTGGTCTAGGAGAAACAATCCATAGAAGCAAGCCCCTCCAGAATAGGACAGAGAAGGGGAAGGATAGTTTTTGGTGGGGGGGTGTCATGTGGGGTCCTTCTGCTTATACAGAAGAAAGATAACTGCATTCTTGGTATGCTTCTGTAATGAATTATGGAGGACCTAGAGCAGAAAGGCCTCATGTGTAAATGAACTCTTGTTCTGCAGTTGCTAGCTTTAGTCCATTGGACACCTTGTCTGGCTTCTGTAAGCCCGTGTCCTCATCAGGAAAGTGGGTTAGTAATACCTTTCTCATAAAGACTTTAGCCAAGAAAGAATGAACAAAGATGCCTGACTCAGCATGTTCTCCATAAAGGCTTACAACCATGGCTACCAGAAGAATTGCAACCACTATATAAACACTCCAGACAATAACCAGATTCAGAAAAGCTCTGTTAGATTTGTGCTCTGAGTGATGAACAGTGGCAAGATTGCCATTACACATTGTTACATTTTGCCATAGGGACTTAGGGAAAAACAGTCTTAGCTTCCAGGATGTGTTCTCAGCACTTTGTATAGTACCCACCAATCTATGGCAGTCAAGTAGCAGGGAAACAACAAAATGGAATTAAATTGCTAATTAGCATTTATTTGTCCTATTTATAATGGCAGTGCGGACCTTGAGGATTGAAAAGACCACATCTAAAGAGCCATTCGATTTTGAGCAGTGGGTTGAAATAGGTATGTATGCTGCCAGTATTTTCTGAGCATGAGGGAGTATTGCGGTAAATAAGGATCAGGATAAACAAATAGGCCGAATAGATGTTTATTCAGGGAGAAATAACTTACAACCTAGACAGATGAACACCAGGAAATTCAACCCGATCCTCTCCTGTCCGAGTCACGCCAGAAAGAGAGCGCCTTCCTGGCCCCCTCCGACCTCCTACCTCAGGTCACCTCCGCCCATCGCTCCACCCCCCAATGGGCGTGGTCAGTGCTACAAGGGAGTAGACGCCTGGCCTCTTACTCTATGATACCAACTACATTTTGGTAAATAAAAGGTGATTTTAATGATTCTTTAACACAGATAAGGCCTAGAAAGATATAAATTTTGTAGTCTTCTTCACATAAGGTTTATATAACAGTTAACATGTTCAAATTTTAGATTATCAAAAATAGAGGCTTTTATGAGCTAATGGTTTATATATGATAAGCAAGCAAATATTGGTTTTGTGCCTTTCCTTCCTGGCTAATGATACTATTTATTTAAACTAAGCTGGGTATGGTGGCACATGTCCTCAATCCCAAGATTCAGAAAATAGAGGTAGGGGGAATCTCTGAGTTTGATCTACATAGATCTTTCTAGGCCAGCCAGCATGACATAGTAAGTCCCTGTTTCAACAAAAAAGTTTTTTAATAAACATCATCAGCTAAATTCTATCTTCCATTTAAGTACAAACATACATAATGACTTCATGTGCCCATCTCCTTTTCTTAGCAAGTACCATGAAAACAGTAGAATAAAAACACATGAAACTAGAGGGAGAAAAGAAAACATAAACCTAGTGAACCAGGCAAATGTAGATCACTAGCTATTATTGCCAGGGGGACAGGCAGAACTTTAGAACACAGCACAGGTTACAATAGTGCCTTCCAAGGAAATATGGAGAATATGCTAATTTATTACATGGAACCCCAGGAAGGCCTAAATTTGACAGCAGCAGGCAATGTGGAAAGTATGAATTAGACTAGTTTATAATTGGTTTCTTATTTTAGCATTGTACTGTTCATGTAGTTAGACCAGGAAGTGGGCATGTGGTCTACTTACCACAATATAAACTTAATTTATAAATATGTAAGAAAGAGAGTATAAACATATTATAATTCAAGAAAAAACCCTAAATTTAAAAAAAATAATTATTTGTTTAATGTATATGGATATTTTGTTTGCATGTATATCTATACACCATGCCTGGTGCCCACAGAGGCCAAAAGGTAAGCATCAGATCCCCTGGGACTGTAGTTACAGACAGTTGTGAGTTGCTTTGTGGGTTCTGAGAATAGAACCTAGGTCCTCTAGAAGAACTGTCAGTGCTTTTAACCACTGAGCCATCTCTGAGGACCCCAGCCTCCACCTCCAACCACCACTTTTTATACAGTTTTTTATACTGTATGTAGTCTAGATTGATCTGGAATTTACTATAATCAGTCCTTCTGCCTCTGTCTCCTGAGTGCTAGGATTTCTGGTACATACCACGATACCAGGCTAGAAAGTGGAAAATATTTATTGCTTGGGAGCATAACCAGACCAGAGGAGAAGGCACAAGAAAGAAGAGGATAATAGTTTTTTATTATCTAAGGAAAGCATTAGGGAGCAGAAAAAAAGCTTCTAGGCTCTTATTTCCCAAAGACTTCCCCTTTGGTCCTGGATAGATTTTGAAGTTCTGTACATTATTTGGTACAAATTAATGTCAAAAGGTATTATTATATTAACTAAATAGTTCACATTTCTGAAAGAACACTCAATGTAAATAACTCATGGCTAAGTAAATTATTCCAGTAGTATGTACTAAACTCGAGTACCAGAAGAGATCATGTCACAGGTCATTCTACATCACAGTGAAATTTTCCTGTGGGAAAAATGGCTCCTTCCATAAAAGTCTGAAATTACTAAGAGCTTAATCAATAAAGGGGGGGGGTTTCCTGCATTTTACCAATTTTTTTATATTTGCATATTTTATAGCTCATTAGTTTTTTTTTAAATCCAAATGTCTTTTATCAAATCAACCCCCAAATAATGATAATTCCTTTAAATCTGGCTTAATTTATAGTTTGCCATAAAATCACTTTTTGCTGGGCACAAATTTTCATAGCTATCCTCATATATTTGAACTTTAATCTATTTCTATTAAATTTGTGTTTTAGATTTAGTACACACAGAGGGGCAGCTTCAAAACGAAGAAATTGTGGTAAGTGTACATACTTTATAGAGATAGGGTTATCTTTAGTGAACCTAATTTAGATTTTAAACTTTCCTAGTATGAGTTATTCATGATGAATATACTCTGCCTACTAACCATTAGAGATTATTCTCAATAATATTATTAGCTAAATGTATTATTAATTACACCTTTTTTTTCTAACCAATCCTGGAGAAAGTGGCTACATGGATAGAACAGAATTGAATTCATTATTTGTTTAATTTTGTTCAATCATTTATTTTTAAAGTATTTGTTTACTTTCTTTCATTTGATTCTGTAAGCCATTTAGACTAGGAGACTAAAAGGGTTGAGATGTCAAAGTTAGATGTTAATTACACGTGAAAGGACAAGAGAGGTTTAAATAAGGGAACTAGAGCATAGGATCAGCAACAACTAAGCCAGAGAGCTGAAGTGGAAAGAGAATCAATGTTTTCCGACAGCATTCCATTGGGCTCTCCTTGTCAAGTGGAATGAACACCCGCTGACCTAAGCTGCTGCTTCATCAGGAGTCCTCTGTCTCTCTCTGCTAGCTTGCCAAGCCCTTGTTTTAAACAAACAGAAACTAGTAAAACACTCCAAGTGTGTTTAGGAGCCCGTGTTGGTGTACAGCTGCTCTCCAAGACATCTAGAGTGGCTTCCTACCTGTGGGGTTTGCAGCTTTGCATCCTGCCAGCAACTGCTTTGAAATCAGCATTTCAAACACTCTTCACAGAGGGTGGGGAGAGCCCAGTCCACTGACAGTGTAAGCGTTAAGACTTGAGTTTGCTCTCTAGCACCCACACAAAGATGTGGGACATGGTGGCACCCACATGGAAACCCAGTGCTGGGGAGGCAGAGACAGACAGAGCATCTTTGGGGCTCGTCATCCAGGGACTGGAGAGGCCAGTGGGACCACCAATTAAAGATTAATTATGCTGATTCTATGGTTATGGTTAGGAAGCCTCTGTATTCTTTGGTATCTGTTAAAGACTCACTGGGGAGGGTTATATAGAACATTTGGAAAGTAGTGAGGCAGATTGGGAGGCTGGAAACCACTCACTCTTTTATTATTGTCATAGCAGAATGATTCCATTCTCTCTTGTACCTGTTGACCATATAGCTCAGATAGTTACAACAAAAATGTGTAGAAAACATTGAATCATTTTTTAAACAATATTATATCCCAGGCTTTATAATTATGTTTTTAAGGTACTGTTTACATATTTACATACATTTAAGCTAATTTATTTTTTTCTGTCATTACAAATAATTCATAGGGAACATTAATACATGCTCTGGACATTATGACCTTCACCTTTTTAAAATTTTATTTCCTAGGATTAAGTTTCATGGAATGAAATTGCTGGGTACAAGAGTATAAATATTTTATGGCTTTTTACATATATTGCCAAATTGGTTTCCAGGGAAATTATATAAATGTGATAGGATAGTCATGCTTCAGGATAGTATATCCAAGGCATCGTTAACTGATAGAAACCACTTAGCATAAACAGTACTTTAGAAAGAAACTTGTAAAACAGTTGGTCAGCAATGTACATTTGTAATTTATAGTCCTCCCACTGTTTTTCATAAAACCAAGAGTGATAGATACCATGATGAATCACTCCCAGACAACTGCTAGACAAAGCTGGCTTGTCTTCTGAACTCTGCCTTATATTCTGTTACACGTTAGAAAGTTACTCTTCGTCAAAGCCTCTGTTCTGCCAACTGCCTGTTAATAGTTTGCTAGGATTACTAAAAGCATCTATATTGATTTTTTTTTTCCCTTACAGGCACGAGATGGCTATGCCACTTTCTTGAGATTCATTATTGTTTCAGCCTTCGATCATTTTGCATCTGTGCATAGCATTTCTGCAGAGGGACTAGCAGTTTCAAGTCTTTCCTAGTAATTATAACAAAATTCTCTGAACTACTTTTAAAATATAGTTCTAGAAGCACAATATGTTTCTTTGGTATGTTTACTATTAAATAGATTTTTACCACTGTTTCCATGTTTATTCATATTTTCTTCAGTATTTTTGACAAAGAAATTCTGGTTACGTGAGTCAGCAGTGTTGGAGGTGATGAGGAAACTTTGACTTCAATATACAGCTTACTCAAGGAAATGACTCTATATGAAAATGTATAACTCATTGTGCCTCCATAGCATCTACTATAGAGCCTGTCAGATCTCTGTGCATTGAGTTTTTAATTTATTAAGTGATTGTTGCAAAAGCTAAGTGAGCAGTAAAAGCAGTAAGCAGTATGGGAGTCTAGGGGAGGAAAAGTACTCAGGGGAGGTGTGACTACAGTCCTGGGACCCAGCCAGATTAAAAGCAAGCCAATTTGTGGTTTTGGTTTTGGTTTTGGTTTTGGGGGTTGTTTTGTTGCTGTTGTTGCTATTGTTATTGTTGTTTTTTGGTTCATGATGCTTTATCTTAATTTTGATGATTTTTTTCCCTTATTTATGATTTGAAAAGATGTCAAAGAAATAACATAATCTGTATTTCCCCAAAACAGTCATTATTGACATCATTTTATGTCCTGATATTTTTATGAAGTGGATAGAATGATTGAGTAAGACTTCTCTGACTATGTCTTACTATTGTTTTATTTTATTTAAGTGACCAATGGAGCAAAAAAAACCAAATTGCAAAATCCACCTTCTTCCCTCTGTCTCCATGTCTCCCCTCCTAAGAATACCAGTTGTATCGAATTAAGCGTCCATCCTACTCAGTATGATCTGATCCTAACTAGTCATATCTGCACTGAAGGCTCAAGTAGGGTCACACTCATGGCCTCAGTTATTATGACTTTATTGTGTCATGTGGAGAATGGAGTTCAACCCATTATATAGTATATTTGTAATGGTTAATTTGGTCAACTGGCTGGCTCATGTTGACTAGAGGTTTGTCAACATTATTCTGGGTGTTTCTGTGAAGGTGTTCACTTTTTTAAAAGATTTGTTTATTATGTATATAGTGTTCTGCCTGCACACCAGAAGGGGGCACCAGATCTCATTACAGATGGTGGTGAGCCACCATGTGGTTGCTGGGAATTGAACTCAGGATCTCTGGAAGAGCAGCCAGTGCTCTTCACCTCTGAGCCATCTCTCCAGCCCTGAAGGTGTTCACTTTTATTAAACTAAGCATTTAAATTGTCAGGTTTTGGATAAAGTGGATTGCACTCTGTAAAGCGCTAGGCCTCACCTAGACATCTGCAAGTCTTAACAGTAAAGACTACTTCCTGAAACAAGAAGAGACTCCAGCTGCAGTGTTGGCTCTCCCCTTGTAAGCCTTTCCTATCTTCCAAGCAAATCAGGACTCGGTGGCTTCTTTGGGCTAGGTGGCATATGTATAAGCTAGCTTCTACTTAGTTACAAACAAGCACTAAATGTCCTGGAAGAAAGCAACAGCTTCACCTCACCATTTTGGCAGGTCTTTTCTAGTTTGTACCTGATTGGCTAATTTCTGTGGTCAGCTGACAATTTAGGCTAAGTATCAAAGGTTTGTTGGAACTAGGTGGCCTCAGTTGGGATAGTTCTCAGCCCCGGGAAGTTACTTCAGTGACCTACCCTGAGCCTCTTCAGTGATTCTAAAACGTAGCAAGGAAGTGAGAGAAGAAACCCAAGTGCAGGCAGGCATGTTTCCAGTCTGCCCTGATTTCCAGATTATGTCACACAGCAATGACCAGAGTCATCCTAAAAATGCATAAAGCGAGCTGTGGGAGTGGAGGCTGTTAATGCTGCAGTCCATTATACTGAATTTCTCCTGGTGTGATACTGTATGAAGCACCAAGCAGCCTGTGAGATACTCTTGTCACAGTGACTGAGCTTGAAGCTAATCAAGCTCTAGAATTAACTTCCATTTTCAGGAAATTCACAGGGCAGTTGAAGTAAAGTAAGTAGACAGGTGACCATGAATGCAATTAACTGAACCGTCCCTATTTGTGACTTCTGGCCTTCTTTGGTTAGCGCTATGTGATAAGGTCTGGCCAATGAGATGAAGAGTAATAAACTTAAAGGCTAATCAATAAATTGCCTTGGTGAGACCCTTCAAGGCTCTTCTCTGTTGCTCCAGTGGCCAGCAATGCTCTGTAGCAAATCCAGTCTGGGTCTGGCAGTGAGGCCAATGGCTTACAGACAGAAGGCTTAGCCTGGATTGACCCTGTAGGAATAGGAAGGTGTGGTGATATATTATTTATGGTTTACTAAAGCTTGCATGAAAATTCAGAAAGCAAAGTCAGCCACAAGCCATACAAGCCAGGCACACACCTTTAATTCAAACAGCCAGAAGCTAGGAGGTAGTGGTATATACCTTTAATCCTAGGACTCAGGGTTAAGAGGTAGACGGATCTCTGTGAGTCCAAGGCCACCCAGATCTACACAAGATTGAATCAGTCTAAAGAGAATTATGGCTCACACCTTTAATCCCAGGACTCATGAGCAGTATATAAGACATGAGCAAGGTCTCAGAGAAGTATTCATTCTCCAGCCACACTGAAGATATGAGCATTCAATCTCCAGCCATGCTAAGGATAGCTCATGAATCAGCCCTTTCAGCTTGAGGTAAAGGTAAGAATTAGTGGCTGTCTGCTTTGTTTTTCTGACCTTTAGCTTGAAGTTTGAACCCCAATATCAGTCTCTGGGTATGTTACTTTTCATGTTACAAGAAAGTGTCACTGTCTGGGGTTGGGAGCTTCTGGAGCTGCCTTGTTTTGTCACTGTCATGGAAAGTGTTAAGGGTTAGGGTTCCCACTCCAGATATAAGATCTCCTACAATCACATGTCATGTGTGGATCTTGTCTGGAGGCAACTTGCACAAAACAACTGAGAAGATTCAATTTTAAGACAAGTTGGGACATTTGCTTATAGAATGGGTATTGTTCTTCTTTCTAGATATCCTGGATGTAGCTTATGTTTAAAAATCCTGTTGATCCAAACATAATGCTACTCATCTGTAATTCCAGCACTTAGGATGCAGAGGCAGATGGTTCTGTCTGAGTTAAAGGCCAACCTAATCTACATAGTGAGTTTCAGTACAGCCAGGGCTTTGTAGAGAGAGCCAGTCTCAAAAAACAAAAAATAAATTATAGGAAAAACCTGCCCAGGTTTTTCAAAGATATACGTGGAGTTATGCACTGGTAAAATAAATAATAAAGTAATAGCTAGGATTTGATTTTAAACACATAAGCAGGAATACTACTGAGCTACACCCTAATGGGGGATGTCCTTGTGTGTGTGTGTGTGTGTGTGTGTGTGTGTGTGTGTGTGTGTGTGTATATATATATATATATATATATATATATATGTTTCTCTTATTGGTTGACGAATAAAACACTGTTTGGCTCATAGAGGCAGGAAGATAGATGGGGCTAGGAGAGGAGAATTCTGGGAAAGGTAGGCAGAGAGGTGCCAAGGGAGGACGCCATGTAGGCTGTCAAAAGAATAACAGGTCTGGACATTCTCCAGTAAGCCAAGACCACGTGGAAATACATAGAATTATAGAAATGGGTTAATAATTAAGAAAGAGCTAACCAATAAGAAGCCTTAGCCATTGGCCAAGTTTAATAATTAATATAGCATAATGATTAATATAGCTTATTTGGGGCTGTGAAGAATGGTAAGACCTGGTGGGACAAGGAAATTCTGCAACAACACCCTAGCCCAATGAGAGATTTTTAATAATGCTTTTTAAGTTGCGTCTATGAATCATTGGATGTGGCTAGTGGGTATATGGGGATTCCATATGTTAGCCTACTTTTATGTATTCTTAAGATTGTTTAGGATAAAGGTAGAAATAATGACTCAGAAGACATTTATTTATTTTGTTTTAGCAGACTGAACATATATTTATTGAAGGAATGTGACAAAAACCCCTGACAGTAGGGTTCCTAGGAAGGAATACTTCAGAAGACATCTTTGCTTACGTTTTGTGTTCCTTTCAGATAGCTTTCTTTGACAAGATCCCAGAAGGAATCAAAGCTAGGTGCCCAGAGTGGTGAGTGTGCTGGTGGTATTTTGTTTGCTAGGAGGAGGCACCCTGGCCAGGGGCCAGGGCCTCACACTGTTAGGCAAATGTTCTTTCACAGACCTACATCCTCAGCCCAGGGTTTTAAGGCTCTTAGGATTTCTGATGAATTGCTCACAACAGACTGTGACACTGATTTACTCCTGAAAAGTAAGGCTTGAAGGTGAACAAAGGAAGTCGGAAAGGCATGTGAGCAGCAATGTTGTCATCAAAGATGAGAGGGTGAGTACCAGTCATAAATCACATCTGGGGCAGGATGAATGGGAAAACCCGATGGAGCAAAGAACCAGCTAATCATAGCACCTGTACAGCTTTCCAGTGTTTTCTTGTAACATGGAGCCATTAAGGCTTTTGAGAATGTGACCTAGAGCAATTGCTTTCATGTTCAGTAGCAGAAATGCTGAGGATTTTCTTTTTGGCCAAGTTCTAAACTGAAATGTCAATAATTCTTTCTGCAAGAACTCTGTGTTAAGGCTTACAGATTGCTGCAAGGGGTCTCCAGGGTTTATCTGATTCATCTCTGGCACATGCCTAGTGAATTCTCTTTAAGCAGCTTCTGTGGATTCAGTGAACCAGGGGTCAGTGCCATCCTTGTAATTCTGCTTCATGTGAGACCGGAGGTGGCTGGGGTGGATGGAGCTCCGTGCTAGCAGCTCAAGATCCTGGGTTGCATTCCCTAAAACAAAAGCAAACAACGAATAAATGTTTGTTTACTGAACAGGGCCATTGGTTTACTTGCCTGTATCTTTATACTGAAATCCTTGAAGAGGTTTTGTTTTGTTTTTTTTAATTAACATAATTTTTTATTGATTCTTTGGGAATTTCAACATCACATATCCCAATCCTACTCATCTCCCTGTCCCTCTGTATCTGCTCTTCGCCCTTGTAGTGAACGACCCCAAGGAAAACTAAAAAAGAAATAAAAAATAATAAGAATGTAAATAGAAATATTAATACAATCAAATAAAAAAGCACTTTG